TCGCAGAGGAGCTTGGCGCTGGCTCTCCTGCTTGGCACAGGTTCTGAGGTCCGGCCATGCCCGGGAACGGTCAGCAGCGCCCTCTCTGGGCCATCCCCGATGCTCGCGGGTGCTCTCCCTGTGGCTGCTGTGAGCTGGCGCCGTGGACCCGTGGACGCGTGGACACACACACTGCAGCGCCTGCCCGCAGCTCTCCTGGCGCAGCCGTGGGCCGAATGCTGACTCCCTGTTGCGGCCGGGGGCTGAGGGAGGTGGAGCCCACGCGGCCGACACGGTTTGAGCCCCGGCCCTGGCAGCTGAGAAGCACGCCGGGCATGTGCACGCGCCCCGAGTCGGTGGGACGGAGAAATGGAGACGGGGCTGTGGCGTGGCCGTGCCCTCCTGGGAGGCGTCTCCTCTCCTTGTCTCCTTTCTGGGGAAAGCGCACGTTCCCGGGTGGCTGCCTCCTTCACAGTCCCGCCCGCCCACAGTGCACAAGGGTCCCAACGTCCCCGTCCCCACGTCCCCACAGCTGCTCGTTACTGTCCGTCTGCCGTCCTAGGCCGTGCAGAGCCGCACTTCTCACGCGGCAGGCCCAGGTCACAAGGCACGTGTCTCGAGACGGGGTGGCATCGTGGGCTTTTCAATCTGGCTCAGAGCTGGGGCGTCCCTTCCACCAGACGCTGCTCACTGGGGAGCGGTCGGCTAGGCAACGCTGGCCCTGTCCGAGGGGACGAGGCTACTGTGTGATGGGAGGGGTCTAAGGACTTAGGGCGGGGGCAGGGTTTACATTAGGACACCCCCATGCCATGCTCATGCACTCCGGGACCAGCGGTACTCCGATGCCAGCCTGGGACAGATAAGGAGCTGCCCAAGTCCCGCCCAGCACACCCCGCTGCCTTCCAGTGCCGACCGCTGACCTGCCGGTGGCAGCTGCAGAGCTCACCCAGGTTCGCAGGCGACCCCCACCCCAACCCGACACCGCGAAGGGCCTGGGCAGCCTCTGAGCGGCGCTGTGAATCCGAGTGGCCATTTCAGGCCCTCAGCGTTCTCCCAGGTTTTACAGGACCTGAAGTTTCTATAATTTGGCTCCCCTTTAAGAAAATTTAAAATTATTACTACAAAATTAGGCTCAGGCAGGGCCTGTGGCCTGATTAAGGCAGTCGGGCCACATGGCCAACTGCGCGATTCAAGTCCCGAACCCCACAGCTTGAGAAATACACCAGGCGTGTGCGCTTACGCCCGAATCCTGACGGGATAGAGATGGAGGGGAAGGGATTGTGGTGAGACCATGCCCCACAGAAGGTGATTTCTCCATGTCTCTGGCAAGCACACAGGCCCTCTAGCAAAAAGAAAAATTAGGCTCAAAGATAAAAATGAGTAATTTTTTTTTTTTGGCTATAGGGTGTGTGTGCTCACTGGAGACATACAGAGTAAAAGTGAGAAATCATCCCCCAGCCAGGAGGCGGGAGGGGATGGCCATGCTGCAATCCCTTCTCCTCCATTCTCCTCTTGGGATTTTGGGCTCACACGCCCGGATTGATTTTCTTTTTCTTGTTTTTTTTTTTTTTTTTTTTTTTTTTTTTTTTTTTTAAGAGGTTTTCGCTATAGGGCGCGTGCGCTCGCCAGACAGGCTCCCCTTTAAGAAAATTTAAAATTATTACTACAAAATTAGGCTCAGTCAGGGCCTGTGGCCTGATTAAGGCAGTCGGGCCACATGGCCAACTGCGCGATTCAAGTCCCGAACCCCACAGCTTGAGAAATACACCAGGCGTGTGCGCTTACGCCCGAATCCTGACGGGATAGAGATGGAGGGGAAGGGATTGTGGTGAGACCATGCCCCACAGAAGGTGATTTCTCCATGTCTCTGGCAAGCACACAGGCCCTCTAGCAAAAAGAAAAATTAGGCTCAAAGATAAAAATGAGTAATTTTTTTTTTTTGGCTATAGGGTGTGTGTGCTCACTGGAGACATACAGAGTAAAAGTGAGAAATCATCCCCCAGCCAGGAGGCGGGAGGGGATGGCCATGCTGCAATCCCTTCTCCTCCATTCTCCTCTTGGGATTTTGGGCTCACACGCCCGGATTGATTTTCTTTTTCTTGTTTTTTTTTTTTTTTTTTTAAGAGGTTTTCGCTATAGGGCGCGTGCGCTCGCCAGACAGACAGAGACATAGAGACAGAAAGCGAGAAATCCCCCCCCAGGAGGGATGGTCACGCCGCAATCCCTTCTCCTCCATTCTCCTCTTGGGATTTTGAGCTCACACGCCCGGATTGATTTTCTTTTTCTTGTTTTTTTTTTTTTTTTTTTAAGAGGTTTTCGCTATAGGGCGCGTGCGCTCGCCAGACAGACAGAGACATAGAGACAGAAAGCGAGAAATCCCCCCCCAGGAGGGATGGTCACGCCGCAATCCCTTCTCCTCCATTCTCCTCTCTGGATCTTGGGCACGCATGTACATGTGCCTGGCGTGAGTTTAAGTCACTGGGTCTGGGACTCGAACTGCAGTCGACTACGTGGGCGCCCAGCAACATAGCCATTACGCTAACTGCTGGTCCCCCGGCTTGATTTTCAAGCCACCAGGTCTGGGATCTGAACTGCTGTCAGCCTTGTGGGACTCTAGCTCCTTAACTACTACGCCACCTGCTGGTCCCAGATTATACCTTTTTTAGAAGCTGACAAATACACTTCCAAAAATCCAGAAAACACCCTAACACTGTCACTTACCATGACACACCTGACACTTTGCTCCTACTTGGATGTCCTCCGAGCACCCTTCCCATGAAGATGGTTTGGTACCGCTGCACAGGAACAGAAAGACGCTCAATCCTCCGGCGTGGTTGACACACATTTGTTTTAAATAATTGACAGTTTAGAAGTTTCTTTCACCTTCACAACTCAGACTGGCACAGTCAAGAGCGTTTTAGAACTGGTATCAAACTTCGCTCCTGTACCAGCTGTAAGGCTCTGCGACGTGCCAAGCATTCCCAAACTGATCTTTAGTACTCTGAAAAAGCATGGCGCGTTTCTAACTGCACCCGCTGCACCGGCGTGTTCCTGACCGGAGCAAACGTCTGCTCGGGGCAGGCGCTGATGGGAATCGTGCCTCCCTCTTTTAAGTTCCATATCTGCTAACTTGCAAGTTTCCCACGGACTAGCTTCTGCCTCCAGAAACGTGAAGCCTTGTTCCTGGACACCCCCAGCCCCCGTGCCAGCTCCGCAGGACACATTCGTATCATGGCACAACCGTGGCCTTGCACCCTTGACTCCCTGACCTGCTGATGGACACAGCGGGAGTGTCCCCAGAAGCCAGCTCTAGCACAAGGGTGACTGGCAGTGACCGACTAAACACAGAAGTGACTGTATAGCCCACTCACCCCAATCTAAACGTGTTCCCGCCTCGCCTCCACTCCTTAGCCAGACCCAAAGGTACCTAAATGGCCTCAGCACCACCTGAGAGAGGAGGTATGACAGGGAAGTTGAAATGGAGAGAAGGCAGCTTTAAGGTATTTTGCTTTTGCAACCTTTGTTGATTTTTTGCTAGAGGGTGTGCATGCTCTCCAAAGAGAGAGGCAGTGAGAAATCACCCCCTGGGAGGATGGCCACGCCGCAATCCCTTCTCCCCCATCCTCCTCTTGGGATTTTGGGCATGCATGCACATGCACCTGGCATGAGTTTCAAGCTGCCAGGTCCGGGACTCGAACCACAGTCTGCCACGTGGGAGCCTAGCATCTTAACCACTATGCCACTTGCTAGCCCCACTTTTACAACTTTTATTAAGTCCTGGGAACCTGTGGACATGCTGCCAAGGCCCACTGTTGCACACTCACTCACTGCTCCCTCAGGAGGCTGTGCCACTCCTGAGGTCCCTGTGACTTCTCGAGTATTCCTATTGCTGTTGCCTCTATCTGGGCTCTTGCCTCTTGGTGAACCCTTCTGCCTTCTCTGGGCAAGAGGGGCTGCTCAGTTCCCGGAATGTGCACTCACTGCTCCCTTGAAGGCCACGCCCCTCCCCAGTGGCCCCCCCAGGGCTCACTGCCACCTCCCCGGAAGGTTTCTCCTCTCTCCACCGGCCCTTCTTGCTGAAGAGCTTTGGAGGCGCAAGTACAAGGTTCTCTGCAAGGCCAGAGCGAGCCTGGAGCCTGCTCCTCACCAGGGCTGCCTGCTCCGCCTGAGGTCACTGCCCTTTTCCTTTTTATCTACTTATGCCGAGGGCACAGAGAAGGCTGGGTGGGGGGGAGAGAAAGCACCCCCATGGGGGGTCACACTGCAACCCACTCTCCATTTCTCCATTCTGTCTAGGCTTTGGAGATGTGCACACACGTGCCCCACGTTTGGTTTTGTTTTCTAAGCTGCCAGGGTCAGGACGCAAACTGAAGTCTGCCATGTGGGATCTGGCTCCCCAAACCAACTAGGCTATGGGACAGTCCTGGACCCTCGTGTGCACTTCCGATTTCCTCTCAGGAGTTTCATCACCCTTGTGGCAACTCTGGTTTGTGTCTGCCCTGACAGCAGTGGGGGAAGTGCCACTCTTCCGTTTGCCCTCCCCCATATTTCTGAACAGTTAAGGATGGAGCAGGCGCGTCCTACGCACCATGGAGTTGCGTGGCATCTGTCCAACCCTCCCTCCAGGGAGCCTTCATCATTTGACCCATGGGCCCACCCTTGGGTTGGGTTTGTGTGTAGGAAATGCTCCCTTCCCCCAGACACAGGGCACCCCACCACCAAAGCTGGTGCCCTCGTCTTCCTGTCTCCCCCAGATATGCAACTTCCTTGCCACCAGCCAAGGCTTGGCCCAGCAGACTCACGCCACCCCAGTGCCAGGCCCCATACATAGCTTCACAGAGCAGAACCCCCCCGAGACCCCATGGAAGCCTGGACGCTCAGTGGTGAGTCTCCCGCAAGGACTGCAGGGACTCTGCACGCAGGGCCCGCTTTCCAGTCCTGGCCTGGGAGACAGCGCGCAATTTCCCCACCATAGAGGGGGTGCTTGGGAGAACCAGCAAAGCAGAAATGGAAACTTTTTCTCAGCAGGAGAAAAAAGAATAAAGTTACAAGATTCTTTTAATATTTTCACAATGTTAAAACTAAAACTGAGCTCTAGGCTATGTGTGTAAGTAAATCTAGAACACAAAGGGGTTAAATAAGATTTTCTCTTTTAAAGATACAAGAATTTAAGCTTTCCTTACATTTAACAAACTTCACAGAACAGATACTGCAGGGGAACAAGCCCTTCCTCCCCCCACCCCCGCTCGACGTCAGGAAGTGGACACGGGCTGCCGCCCCGTGTGCGGTGGCTCCCATTGGGTGGGTTCTTCCCACTGCGGCCTCTGCGCAGCAGCTGGCGGGGGCCCAGGAGGTCAGGAAGGGTGTGGCCTCTTCAGGATCAGAGCTTGGCGGGGGGCTGGTGGGCCGCTCGCTGAGACGTCAGATAGTGGCCAAAGGGCTGCGCTTGACAACAGCGGTAAACGCTGGGCAGACCTGGCCCCTCTGCCCTGGAGCAAGACACTGGTCTGGTCCTGAAGCGAGAATTAAGGCTGGAGATTTTGCAGCGGATTCCATTCTGGTGGGGGTGGAGGGTGGGGTGGGAGGAGGAGGTTGGGAAAGCATGATTTCCTATTTCAATATTTCAGATCAAAAACATTTGTCGTTGCAGGTGTTGAGCTGTTAACTTGCAGACAGAGTCGAGCTGTTTGTTGTGTCAAGGAAAGTTGCTGGGTTAAATGAGTCCAGTAGCCTCTGTGTGGGCAGGCCCACACCGCCTCTGCAGGAGCCTTCTAGCCTCACCCACCTGGATCAGATGGGGGCGCCGGGAATGCTCATCCCTGCTCAGGCTCTCAGGAGAACCCTAAGTCCTGTCTACCCAAGCCCACCTGCCTGGCACTTCCAAACCGAGTGCCCACCTCCACTCCTTCCCGCCTGGCCTGCAGCTCCAGAACAACTCTGCCCACGAAGAGGTGCCGGCTGAGCAACGTGCCCCACCCCACCTTCAGAGCAGATGCTGCTCTGGGAGCTGGGCCACGGCCACAAGCCCTTGTTCTAGACGACTCCAAGCACTGTCCCTGTGGAGATGCTGGCTCCCCTTGCTAAGCGTGCGAGGTGGTGATGTGGACTGGCCGTCCTTGGGCTATGGGGCTGCATAGAAACGCGAGCGGAGGCCGCGGCACCATCCTCTTGGCCCCTAGAGGGCGAGCAGGCTCCAGCTGGAAAGGGCAGCAGCTTCCCCAGTGGTTCCCCAGCACACCTACTGATGCGTGTGGCCTAATGAAACGTCGTCTTAAAAACCCCCCAATGTGGAAATCTAGCTGCAGAGGCCAGTGTGTAGACCCAGCCACCGCAGCTGTGCTGCCATTAGCCTGATTTGATCCCGTCAGATCCCTGCACTTGGCAAAAGGCAAACCAGAGCCAGTGGGTCAGCTGTGCTCTGGTCTCTTCCCATGACCACGGATCCTGTGTGGAAAAGGTGGGTCCTGTTCATGGACTAGCCTTGAGTGGCGCTAATTTAAAAAGTGAGGTTATTGTTTCTCTTCTTGTGTGATGAGTTTTTTCATAACAAGTCAGGTAAAAAAATTTCCGTAAGAATCTGCCCCCAGCCCCTATTTCCAGCTCTGTGGGAGAATGAGGCCACCACCCAGCCCAGCCACGTGGCTGATCTCAGCAGCCTCCTGTGGCCAAGGCACGTGTGGCCATCAGGTATCCTGGCTACTGGGACTAAGGATCAGTGAAGAGGTGAAAGGCCGAACGTTAAACAGAGTTTCTGGCAAAGCCATGTGCGTCGTGGGAACTTTAACACCAGCTTCTACTCCTCTATCAACTCAGTCTCCGTCTGGGACGCTTTCCGCTTTAAGGCTTTTTATAAGTTTGACTCCAGCAGTGACAGGTATGTGTTGTTTTAAATCCACTAGCCATGCTCAAAAAAAAATATTCTTCATGTTTTAATTTTATACAATGGCTAGCAGGCACCTTAGTAACCAGCCAGAAATCAATTTCAACCACCATCAACCCTAAACTACAGTACCAGGGTGGCCGGCTAAAGAAAGGAGACGGCTGACTGGCTGTGGTCTGACGCGTGCCCAGTACAAGGTGTCTGGCTGACTTTGTCCTAAATAAGGCTAACATTAGTGAACTAAGAACAGCGTCATGTGGCGGCCACGCCTGGCCTTCAGGAGCACCCCTCCCCGATGCGCTGGCAGGAGCGCCCCACTTTCCGGTCCAGTTTCACCATTTTCATGATGGCTTCCTCTCGGCCGCGGCCCATGTGGTCGAATGTACAGTCGTGCTGCTCGGGGAGGCGGTGTAACATACAGAACACGTAACCTGCAGCAGTGAGAGAAGCAGAGACAGAGAGACTGGGTTAGGGGGGCCTCCGGGTGCCCTCGCCTCGCTCTCACACTAGTGCAGGGGATGGAAAGGGCACCTCGGTGGGTGGAAGACGGTCATGCCAGGCCTCCTGCTGCCAAAGAGAGTTCATCACAAACCCCCACCCTGTAACAAGAAGGTCAGCGCTTCACAGTCCACAGCTGCCCGAGTCCTGGCTAATCAAAGCTGTCCCTGCCTGGACCCCACAATAGGAGACCCTTCCCCTGGCGATGAGTGGGCTCAGACCCCCCCCTCCCCCCCGTGGCTACCATGCGGCGGGGACAGAAACTGCCAGCTCAGCGCTTCCCCTGGTGGGCAGACTGTACCAGCCACCACAGGACACCCAGTTCCTAGGGTCAGGGAGGGAGGAGACACGATTATGGCTTCAAGTACGTTGTTCCTCCCGTGTAGCCAGGGGCTTGGGAGGACGGTGGGAGTGACCAAACTACAACCCACAGGTGAGTGGGGGCTCTCAAAGGAAAAGGAATTCTTCCGCGTGTTGGAAAAGGTATTTCAGACAAATAGAGAAGAACAGAAGTGCTGAGCTCTGGTGGCCATCTCCAAGGAACCTGATGCTTCTGTTCTCCTCCGGCAGGGGAGAGGCTGAGGTCCCCACACTCAGGGCTTCCCACTTGCCCAGCCCGCTCAGAAATGGAGAGGCTTCATGTTGGTCTGCCAAGTAAGAGAAAAGGCCTGGCGCGGTCAGCAGAATGAGGGACTGAGGACAGGCCTGCCCATCAGAGACGGTGCAGATGAAGTCCCTCTGGATAGGGAACCATGAGGGAAAGACCGCAGGGATCAGAAGAAAGGCTCAGAGGACAAAGGGAACCCACCACAGAGAGTTGCACGCAGTTCCTCCCCACGTCGGGGTCAGTCGCTGGAAAGGCTGCCGGGTGTGTGCAGTACAGACCCTGGTGTCCCGGCGCTATGTGGAGCTCTTTGTGGGGAGGTGAGGAAGATGCCTGCCACCTGCCGACTCTTGTCCACCTCCCATCAGCTGGACCTGGCTGTACCCACAGGCGTAGACCAGGCCTAAGGAGCAAGCCTCCGGGGGAATCCGAACGCTATCCCAGACCTCTCCCTGCGGTCTGTGAGCTCACGGCAGCCTGACTGGACCAAGTCTCCTCATTCGTTTTCAAGCTAAGAGCATCTCTTCGTGAACTTTCTTTTGAGCCCAGATCCAAGCCACAAAGAATGAGCAGCCATACCTTGCAGGATGGGACTCATCCACCCACATCCTGCATTTTTTTTTCTTTCTGGAGATACAGAAGTGTTATTTTTAAAAAACAGCCAAAGTTAAGGGAAGGAGCAAGAGGCCAGCATGAACGAGAGTTTCAACAGCCTTAAGGCTTAAAATGAACTAAGGGTTCAGTGGCCTTGAATTTAACTTTACCTAGACAGTATTCCTCAGCCTGAGGGAGCACGCGAGCGAGTGTGCGTGCGTGTGTGTGTGTGTGTACATGTGTGCTCTTAAATGGCCTGGGACGCAGCAGCCTCGAGGATGTGCGGCCATGCACCCTGCCTGGCTGCCTCGTGCTCCCAGCCGTGTTCAAGGGCTCATGTACACAGCCCGGGGGGCTTGAACGACCAGGAAGAGCCTGGGCCATCCACTGTGAGAGAACACATTATTAACTGCTTCCCAGGGAGAGCGGGGCAATATGTTTGACTCTAAATTGGGGCTGGGTTTAAGGAAAAGAACAGAGATGAAATTTTTGTCTCCTGAGAAGTCGAGCTCCCACTTGGTCCAGAAGTGAAGTGAAGATTAATGAGCTCATGTGTTATATTTACTGATAAGTTCATTACTTGAAGGTATTGGATACCAGTTGTCTTTCTCCTCAAGGATTTCACAGCTGAAGCGTGGATGGCCTCAATATGCACCCTCCATCTAACAAGCAGAGCCATCTTCTTAGAGCAAAGTGTCTCCCGTTAGGAGGAGCCTGCTGCCGGCGTGGGCTGGGTGGGCCACCAGCAGGAGGGCGTCAGGATGCATCTGCAGACTTTTTT